GAGCGGGATCCGTGGCAGGAGGTCTCGTGGCTGTGGCAGGGCCTGCGGGAGCACATCTTTGCGGAGGAGTGGTGACGCTGGAGAGAGGAGAGAAGCGGTCATGGTAGTGCAGCAGCCTCGGTGTACATGAACATATCTGCATTCTCTAGTTTGCTCTGGAATTCCCCGTTTTCCTCCTAACTTCTAGTTCTCCCAGGATAAGAAAGCAATCCCATTGCCAGTTAGGTATTGGGAGATGGTTTATATCCTCCACCAAAACCATGACCTTTACTGGATGCAATTTATTTTTCAGAGGAAAATCTGCTCAAAATATCCATTGCCTGTATGGAGACCCAGACCCCCCAGTGTCTTCCACTCAGAAATGTTAAAGCCTCTTTTCCGTAAAGCCCTCTGACTGCCCTCTCTTTGTATTTTCCAAGCTTTCTGTTGTTTTAGTTCAGCTTGAGCCTCCACCTGCTAAGTCTATATCCTGCTTCTGGGTAACAAGAACTTGGTCTCTGGTGTGACCAAGGTCCAGAAGGGAGGAGTGTCATCCTCCAACTCTACCAAACCTTGCATGAGAGCATCTAGTTTCATAAAGAAACTCAGGAGAAATAGAAGAATTGGACTTACCCCTTCAACAACAGGAATGAAGGTGTCTTGGAGCAGGGAAGCGAATGAAAGGAACAGGGATGAGAGACCTTTTATACTCTTCCAAAGGTTTATCTGGGACATGAGACATCTCTTCGAGTGTAACCTAATTACAGCCCATTTCTATCCGCTGTATTCAGCTTCCGACATTTTCCCTTTGATGCACTGTGCTTTTAGCATTGTAATTGTCCCATAGGTTATTAATAGCACGTTAATTCCTTCACCTCCCTATGAAAGAGATTGGAAGGTATTTCATGCCAAGTGACGCCAATACGGAAGAAACTAATGGATCTGTCCACGGACAACAAGTATCAGGAGGAAGAGATGTTTGTAATTCGGAAGGACCAATCCTTCGATGTCACATGGCCCGAGACTTAAATGTGCTCACACCTCCCTGTGAAAGAAAAAATGATTACTAATGTTAACTTGTGAGGATTATGTTTAGGGCTGAATTGCCCAATGGTACCGGATATTCGGCATTAGACTGTAGATGATGTTCATCGGTAATTCCAACCTGTCTGCACGCTATGTCCTATCAAGGTGGTTTTTTTTTTTATTTATTCTTATGTGGTGGATTGATGCTGGGTGTCCGCAAAAGCTGCTCTGTGACTTCTCTCCTCCACTGGACAGGGGAGAAAATAATATAACAAGAGGCTCATGGGGTGAAATAAGGTTGGGGAGAGATCACTCAGCAATTGCCATCATGAGGAAAATCCCTAGACGTTCTACCTCCTCTGCAGGCTGCAGTTCTTCGTGAACTTCTCCAGCATGCGTCACCTCCTCCATCGTGGGCTTCCCACAGGGTCACAGCTTCCCCTGGGCACCTGCCTGCTCCAGCGTGGGGTCCTCCTGGGGGCTGGAGGGGGTATCTGCTCCTTGTCACCCAAACCCAATACATAGAATCCTAGGATGTGTTGACTTGGAAGGGACTTTTAAAGGTCATCTAGTCCATCTTGCTATAGATGCTGTTTTAGTCTAATTCTGCAATCTGCAGTGACATCAAACTCCGGAGCAAAAAGGTTTGAGGTGAACCCACCAGCTTAAGTCCTGCTCACACTTCCAGAGGTGCAGTTACTTTCTGTTCCTATTTTCCTCTGTCCTCCTCTAATGTACTTGTAAAACTTTTGCCCCAACATTTTAGATAAAACCTGTACTTTACTTTCTGGAAATCTTTAGCAGTAGAGATTGTGAGAAGGCGGGTGCCTGCCTCTCGAGTGAGGTTTAAGACCTTTAATTTCATAGAGATATTGAAGAATATATTGGGACTATTAGCTGGGACAACATGGTTGTCCTGCTTTTAGTACTCAGCCGTGACATCTCTGCAGCTCTTAAGGAAAAAAAAGGCATTAAACAGGACTGTAGCTCAAGAAAAAAAAATAAATAATGTGGTAGAGGTAGATGCTTCTGAGCC